GGAAAGATGGATATGGAGGTTCTGTCATATTAGAAAGAAACAAAAATATGAAGATAATAAAACAATTGTTTTAAAAGCAAGGTTAAGATAGAATCATAGCAAATTTCTCATAACACTTGGGAATGTATGCAAATGTGGTAGACCAAGGGGGTTGCGAACTTATTTTACCGGAATATACATATATTGCTTGCGAATCATCAAAGAAAGATGTCGGAGGAGTTTATTGAGAAACCCATGAATTATCCGGGAAAATGCTATAAAATTGTAGTTGGAAGTAAAGATAGAATAGAATGAATAGATAGAATAGTTGTAACAAAAATATTACTATGTAATAACTTTCGGTGATTAAACAATAAAAAAAAATTGTAAGCGGCAAAGAAAATTAAAATTTGCTACGGATTTTTTAGTATGTATACATTACAATGTTGCTCGTCTACTGATTTTTATGGCTTTATTTTGTTTGATTCCACATGGAAATTATATATTTTGACATAGAACCCTTTGCACTAAGTTTCTGATGATTTAATTAATGAGGAAACCTAGGCAATTCTTTGCAAAAACCCTTAAGTAGTAGTACCTCAAAATGTAACAATTGTGTAGGTTAGCCGCGCGCCGGCTGGCACGGTCAATGCGCGTTGTTCACAAATCACCCTGGCCTACATTCGCTCTAATATTCACAATTCGCGTGCATACAAACCGCCAACAAGCCGACATCACGGCCAACGGACTCCGATTATCCTTGACTTTACCAGTACATCGGCGAACATCACACATAATACATAATACACATAATATCATAATTCGCAAACTACTAGGGGTTAAAATTACTCGACGGCCTATCTACCGTACAATTTAATGTCATGTAAGAAGTTGGGCCGGAAAAGTTTCTCGATGTCAACGAGCACCCCTGCGCCCACATTTTCACTCCGTTTTTAACCACATTTGATACATGGTCGAGAAATATTTTTAGTTATTACTAAATGTTTTTCCGTAATTTCGACTTAAGTTCTATTGGAGTCAAAATGTAAAATTGTGGAATTCAATAAATCTATTTTGTATCTAGAGTTATCTAGATGTCTTTTGTCGGTATTGTTCTGTTTTCTTTTTTGTTGCGATAAGCGTTTAGGTAGATTTTGATTCGGTTCATCAATATGTATACCATCGCAGCTGATTATTCAGTCGCAGCCTAGGTCATTTAAAATTTGTATCAAGGGTGAAAGTATCAAATTTCGTGTCTTATTATTCGTATTTGATTGATGCCTCTAAAATAACTTTGATTGACGTCTGAATCCAGACATATAACACCAATTAAAATTGCATAGCTATAGAATTATTAGATAGAGTATCAGTCGATTTAGTTATAGTATTATTTTAAATGTATTCACCGAAAATATTAATGAATTGCGTAATTAGTATTAGATTTTATAATAATCAGAAACTTTCGATCATGAAAAATGTTTGTAGTAATATTTATTCAGTTTGTCTTATTCAGTTTCTGAGATTGTACGACATTTGCATAACTAAAGTTCTATATCAATTAAATTGGTTGCGAAGTTTCGACGTTAAGGGGGCGATACATGTAACAAGAAAAAAAAAATCGATTTTTTATTTCATAAATCGTTACAAATAACATCTCAAAATTATGCCTGTAAATATTCAAAACAAAATTATCATTATTTATACAATAAAAACTCATTTAAGTGCCACTCCTCAACTCGACGCTTGAGTGCTATTGTAAACTTTAAAACGCGTTTTTCTCAAACGACATTTTTGAAATTTGCGGGCGTGATAACTCAAAAGTTCTCAACCGATTCAATGAAATTTTGCACACATCTACTTTACAGTATAGCTTCTAGTTAAACCTCAAACATTCCAAAAATGTTTCAAAAATTACCCTTTTACCAAAAAAACCATTGAAAAAAGGTGAAAATCGAACTTTTTTTTCTAAGGTGTGCCATTTACGATTTGTGTGACTTTTTTAATTTTTTTTTGTTTAACACTAGAAGATATATGTTATGACACGTACAAACTAATTTTTTTAAATTCAGATCACCGTACGAAAAGTGAGAACGCCCGCAAAATTGATGGCGTTTTCCGAGAGGGTCTTGGCAGATTTATTTTTACGGCAGCCATTTAAAAAGAAAAATTAAAAAAAAATTTTTTTTGTGTATTTTAATATATAATAAATAACCCTAAAAAAATTCAAAAAGATTCATCATTCCTTCCCAGTTTAAAAAGTCCTCAAAAATGGTAAAAATTACGGCGATTACATGTATCGCCCCCCATCTGGTGCAGTGTGCACCAGATCGTTCGATACGGAGCTTCCGATCCGCCCAGTTTCAACCATGTCAAAACATCGTCGTAAAATTTTACCCATCCATCATCAATAATCCGAACGTAATTTTGTAACAGATTTTTATTAGGGTTTTTCCGTGGCCTGGTGCTTAGAGCTTTAGGCTTTCAATCAATAATTTCATGTTGATACCCTCCGATGTCAAGCAGTAGTATCATCGGATTTTACTTGGAAATACAGATAGCATGTGTTTCCAAGTGAAAATTGCTCTTACCCGGAATTGCTCATTCTGGGCTGAATGAAAAAATAGTTAACCAGTGTAAAAAAAT